TGTAAGCCCCCTGATCCCAGAATTTTGTCTCTCTTGGTTTTCTTTTTTTCTTACTTTTATATTCATCCATGGGTACCTCGTTCTCGGGACCTGACACTCTGAATAGAACCACACACCATCTTCTGATCTCCACAGGTGATCACTTCCCTCGGGGCCACACAGGCTGAAAAGGCAGTGTGAAGTTATTTACATGGTATTGACCTGGTGGATGGATGCTGGCCTGCATGGACGCTGGATGGAGGAGACAACGGTGGGAATGTCCAACAGAAACAGAAAGAAGAAAGTGAACATTATTCGAAGTCACCAGGAGACAATACACATGGCAAGGTTTTCCTAGGGGAAATTGCAGCTGCCCTATTCCTGTATATTTCTTTCTCCCAGGAATAAGATTCTTTGCTGACAGCACAGCTAACAACTGTCTCCAACCACCTTGTCTTCTAAAGAGACTGTCTGCGGGTTCTAACACACTGAGGTCTTCTAAGAAAGAGGAAGAAGAGTCCAAAGCTGAAGGTGAAGATAGTTAAAGAGAGGGCCCAGGAAGGAATGGGACAACACCAAGTGAAAAGCTCGTCTCCCTAAGTAAGTCTGATTACTCGTTTATCTTGCTAATGGAAAAGTTATGCTCAAAACATACAAACATCAGTTATTTCTTTTTTCATTCAATCAGTATATATCTGAAATGCATAATACTTACATAAATTTGTAACCATTGCAGCCAGTGTCTATTATCAGAAAAGGGAAGGGTGGAAAATTAGGGAAAAAAAAATCCGGACTTGTCTGACAAGACAAAAGCCCTGCTGGGCACAGTGGCACATGCCTGTGATCCCAGCTCTGCGGAGCCCTAGGCCCGCGGATCCCTTCGAATTGGAGCTACAAAGTGCGTTCAAGCCCAGCTCCTGAACTGCGCAGGAAACACCGTCTTAAAAAAAGGAAGACAAAATGCTCGAGTTGATTTGTCCAGGAAACAAAGTCTGAGTCCCAGGCCTCACCAACCCGGTGAGAGCCCCGGTCCCCTGGTTCCCCTGGCAGGGACCCCGGCTCCCCAGGCCCCGCAGGAAAAGCCCCTTCTCCTCCAGCACCCGGCTCTACCTGCTCCTCTGGCCCCCACTATTCTGACCCCGGCTCCCCTAGCCCCGCCTCTCCGGCCGCTCCGCCCCGGCTACGCCCCTCGGGTCACGCCTCCGGGGCCACACCGCCACAGCAAGATGCCTCGGCCCCGCCTCCCCGTGCCCGTCTTCCCTGCCACGCCTTCCGGAACAGGTCCTGGGGCCACGCCTCGCAGGCCCCGCTGGCTCAGTCCCGCCTCCTCAGCCCCGTGGGTCCGACCACGCCCCCTCAGGCCCCGCCCCTTAGGCCCCGCTCACCCAGCCAAGACTCCTGGGCCCCAGCGTCCCGGCAGAACGTCTCCGCCCCGCCCTCCCGGCCACGCCTCCCAGACCACGCCTTCCCACTCCCGCTCGCCGGGCCACACCTCTCAGGCACTGCAGCCTGGCCAGACACAGCAACCCCGCCGCCCGGCTCCGCCTCCCAGGCTCTGGGACCACTGGCAAGCCTTCTTTGATTCCCGGTCCCACCCACGCTTGCCTCGGCCCGGGAGCCCCACCCACCCTTTCACTCCTCGGCTCAGCTGCCAGCAGGGTACCGCTGGCCGGCGAGCCGGGCGGGCGCCGCGTCTCCAGCATCCACGAGGGACTCCATCGAAGCTCGCGCGGACAGCGGAGCAGGAATCGGCCCCAGGTCAGGCGGGGGCGTGGCGTGGGGAGAGGGATCCCGAGCCCGTGGGGTGGGGGGCGTCCCCTGCGGGCCGCGGCGCCGCTCCCTGGAAAAGGATCCCCAGGAAACAGGATTGCGCTGCGGGGCCCCGACCGCGGACGGAGAGAACGCGCGGTAGCCTTGAGACCCCAAACTGAGTCCCCCAAGTGCTCGGAAACTTATGGAGGCGAAAGCGGCTCAGGCGCAAGTCCCCGCCGGGCTTTGTGGGTTGCACTCAGGACCCCGCTTCTCTGTCCCCAGAGGACCCATGGCGCCTACCGCGACCCCTGACTTCCTCCTGCGCGTCCTGGCTCCGCTGCTACTGTTATTGCTGCTGCTGGTGTTGGAACCTCTCTGGGCGGCCTGCAATGGTGAGACACCCCGCTGTGCCCCACCACGGCTTCCGATCGCACGGCTCCCGGCTCACAAGCTCCTTTCGCCCCTCCTGGTCACCTCAGCCCTTCTCACCACTCCCCACCGCACCCTGTCTGCCAGAACGGAAGCAAGGGATGGAGAGGTTGTAGGGGAAGCCACCCACAGGGCTGTCAGGAGACCCACGGCCGCCCCGCCGCGCCCAAACTCCTGCAAAGTGCAGCCTCCAAACCTGAATGGGATCCTAAGCCACAAGGCTGAACCCAGCTCAGGCCTTGAGCTGTTTCTTATAAACTCTGCCCTCCAGGAGTCCTAAGAGTCTTTGTCAATAGACCACATCCCTGCACCTCACAGCCTCCCCAGCCACATCCACCCACTTCCCTCCTGAGTCACTGTGCCCCTGTGCCCCCATGCCCCCTGTGCCTCTGCCCACCTTGCCCAGACCTCAGGTACCCAAGGCCTCCTCCATCTTCCAAACCAGAAGCCCCAGCTGGCACCTTGTGCCCCTGCCTGAATACACACCCCAACCACACACCCCTCCTCGCCCTCAGAACCTAAAGCATGAGGGAGGGGTGCCCTATGCCCAGCAGGACACTGGCAGTGGGTGTAGACAGGGGCATGTATGGACATCTGCCTTTGAACCCAGGCCCTTAGCGTTCCCCTTGGGGAAAGAGCACCCTAAGGTGGTTATTAATTGGGCAGGAATCCATCACTTTTCTGTCCAATATTTTCAGCTGGGCAGGCCACACCATATCTGTCTGAGCTCTGCCTTCGGTGTGAAGGAGGCTGGACACAACATGCCAGCGGATGGGAACCAGACTTGACCACTCTGTGTTTATCTTCCTGAAGAATCACCTTTCATATAGATTTTTTAGTCTCTGCTGTCTTCATTTCTGCTCTGATCTGTATTACTCCTTTCACTACACTAATGCTGGCTTTTGTTTTGCTCACCAGGCATTTTTACCTGCTGGACACACAAGAGTCCTCCGGACTTTCCATGAAGCACAGTGCACAGGACATTCTTCTGGTGTTCACGTTGCATCCACTCTGGGGTGCACACTTCTCTGAGCCCCCTGGTCCTTTCCTCTGCTGCATTTCTGGGGACATCTCGATATTCTTTGTCTAGTTTTTATCTTTATGAGTATGTGTTTCCAGTACAAAATGATTGCATTCATTTCGAGGAACAGCTACCTGTACATAAGATCTATTAATTGCTTTTTCTACATCGTACAGTGGAGGCTGCCCCTTCCCAAACTGACAGAAACCCGTCTACTAGCACAGGAGTGCCCCTCCCACGCGGTACTACAAACCCTATGAACCCTCATCATAAACTGAACCCTTGTGTCCCATGTGGATCCTGTTCTCACCCCAAAGGTCAGAGCAGCTCCACACACTCCCCGTCTCCCTGCAGCCCACCTGGGTTGCTTCTGAAGACCCTCTGCCATCCTGGCCTTTCTTCAACAGAGTCAAGTGCTCATGAATGTGGGAATTAGTCCCATGGGCAGAGGGAATGTGAACCTTCTCCTGGGATATGAGGCTGCAACCAGGGAATATCCTTTCCCTCCTCAAACAAGGAAAGAACGCCAGCTTTAGATGGGGGAGAACACCGTGTGGGAAGGAGCAGTCCTTCCCCCCAGCTCAGCCCTTCACAGATTCTCCTCCCCTCACAGATGTCATGAGATGACAAATGGATCCATTCCCTGCTCACCCCTAATCCGTCCTCATGCTTTTCCCTCACAGGCACCCTCTCTCTTTGCTATGAATTCACCACCTATCCTAAGCCCCCGCCCGGACAGCAGTGGTGCACAATCCAGGGTCTGGTGGATCAGAAAACGTTTCTTTCCTATGACTGTGGGGGTGTCAAAGCCAAATCCATGGATGTCGTTGGAGGAAAGGTGAACAGCACCGAGACCTGGGGACAGCAGCTACAAACACTACAGGATTTGGGCCACAAGTTCAGAAAGTTGCTGCTTGACATTAACCCTGGTAAGTCAGAATACTCCAAGGGAATAAGAGATCGGGTATGGCCTAGGGATATTTATCCTGTTCATGTGGTGAAGAAAACACTTGGATGTTGGTCTCTGTAACAAGTCCAGCATGAAGGTTGGATGTGGAGGCGGAACAGAGCCAGATTGGTAGATCAGAGAACGTAGCTATTGGGTGGGGGCCAAGGATTTGTCCATAGTTAAGGCTGTTCTCTTTCCACGGGGCAGCTCCCCACAACCTGTCGGCAGTGATGACCTGTCACCAGAAAGCTGATGGATACTTCAACGGGTCCTGGCAGTTTGGTGTCAGTGGACAGACTTTGCTCCCTTTTGACTCAAACCAAATAAATTGGATGGAGGTCCTTCCTGGACGGAGTTACATGAAGGAGTGGAAGAATGACAAGGAGCTGAGCCAATTCTTATACCGGACATCAAGGGAGGACTGTGGGAGTTGGTTGAAAGCATTCATGGAGCGTGGGAAGGAAAGTCTGGAGACCAGAGGTAACTGGGAAGAGGAGGAGGAAGAGGTGGCTCCCTTTGGATGAGGTGTTCCCTTGTGTATGCGCCCATGTGTGTGTGTGTGTATGTGTAAGTAATCCATCTACGGTGATCTGGAATGCTTTTTCACGGGGCATCAGTGCCAGATGTATACTACCCATCTTTTCCCTTCTCCCCTCCTAACGTCTCTTCCTCACTGCATGAGCTTGTGATGCACCCACCGTGGATTTCTTGCTGACCTCCACACTGTAGGCATCCTTCTCTTGCCAGGCCTTCCCTTGGAATCACTTGCTTTTTTATCTCACCTGGTTTCTCTCTTGAAATCTTTCAAACCCACCTCACACATCAGCTCCTGACACCATTCCCTACCACTCTCACCAGGGGTCACTTCCTCTTCTGACACCAGCAAGGGTGGGTTATGTTGTGACCTTGCCTGCTCAATACCTACGTGTGTCCCTAACCCCAGGGACCTCCTTCTCCTTCTCTGCCCACCTAAGACCTGTCACAGTGGCTGCCACAGAGCAGAGGGTTGGAAGCTGTCTGTACTGCTGGTTTAGCTGAGGTAGCTAGAGCTGAGAAGGCAGCCCAGGATTTGGGCTCAGGAAAAAGGCTGAATCTCTCAGGTTTCTACTCCAGCACCAGCCACCACACCACTCACTCCCAAGGCCACCAACCTGAGTTGCGGGACCCAGGTAGTGATCGGGATCGCAGCCTTCAGCCTCCTAATTCTCATCGCAGGAATTTTCTTCTGTATCAGGTCAGTGATCAGAATTGGGAGGGAGGCATTCAGCAAGAGGACTACAGAGGAGAAAGTGAGTGCTCAGAGTCTCTGTCCCTCACTGCACCTTGAAATGGAACAGAAGAGTGAGACCTCGAGTCACGTGATAGCAGTGGCTCAACAAGCTCAGCCCTTGGTGGGGAGAATTGACCCCTGGCATGCACACGCCAGAGGTAGAGTGTCCATACCAACATTAGGCCTGCTGTGTTCTACAGGGTTTTAGCAAAACAAAGCTGGTTCCCTCCACATTCCTTCTGGGGAGGGACCAGTGATTCAAGGTATGAACAGGGAAGGACCACAAGGAGGGAGAATGTCTATATGGGGTGATAGCATCATGGGGGCTCCACTTCATGTGTAAAGAGGAATTAAGATTCATTACCT